ATATTAAAAACATATAATAGTAAGGTCTATAATACAAAAGCATTATTATAGAAGGCCTCTTTGATGCAGAAGCATTATGATAGAGTTATGGACTGAAGTCCTATTTATTAAAGACATATAGCAGGTCTATGAAATAAGCAAATATGTGGAAGATCTCAAATATGTAAAAGCATTATATTGTTGTGCGCCTAAGTTGATGTCTGGTACCTGGCACTAGTGCCATCTAGTGTCGAGGAACAGAGCGAGGAGAGCTTTCCAGAAAATTCCATGACTGAACCTTCATCCAACAGCGCCATCTAGTATCGAATAGAAGAACTAAGCTTTCTGGAAAGCTCCACACTCGAACTTTCTACGCTTATTCAGTCGAGACCGATATTTGCTGGAACACTCTGGATGTTTCGGTGGAAATTGCGTATTTAAAGCCGCTGAGGGCCGCGACCGGGGCAGTATTGAAATGGAGATACGAGCGAAGCTTTCAGAGTGAAATAAAGTTAATTAAAGTGATCATTGTGATAAATTATTAGTGTCATTAGGGGGTCATTGTAGAAGCGTGCTCGTCGCGACCCCTGCCAGCCCTTTTCAGGGCTGCAATTCTACACAGCTGCGCACCCATGCAAACGGGAGTTAGGGCGTCCCCCCAAGGCGACGCACACCAGATAAAAGAAAGATATAAGCTGCAGAAAGTTCATGCGAAAACATTGATTGAGGAAGTACGTGAAAGGTGTAGAATAGAAGCGGACGAGAGGTTGTCGTACAACTTTAAGGAAAACTCCAAACTCTTCTGGAAAGAGGTTGGAAGGTCCCGGAGTGGTGCGACAGCCTTAAGAATGAACAAAGTGCTTTCGAGAACCAATGACGTCCTCACAGAAAAATCGGACGTCATGCAGCGATGGAGTGAATTTTATAGAGAAGTGTACACGTGTCATGATCTTAGTGAAGGATCCGGGGGTGACGCCATGACTGGCACGCCAGACACGGACCTCGATGACACTGAGGTCATCAGCATGAAAGAGATTGAACGTTCGATTCGAAGTTTGAAATGTGGTAAGGCTGCGGGACTAGACAGAGTTACTGCTGAAATGGTCAAGTACGGTGGGCCTCGCGTCTGGGAGAGCTTTCATCTGCTGTGCAATTTGTGCTGGCGGACGGAAGATGTCCCGGATGATTGGCGATCCGAGGTCATTGTGCTTTATATAAAGGTAAAGGTTCACATTTTGACTGCGGGTGCTATCGGGCGATCAGCTTGACCAGCTTAGCAAGTAAAGTTTACTCGAAGGTTTTTACACGTAGGATGCAAGAGAAATCGGAAAGATTCTTATGGGAGGCACAATGCGGATTTAGACCTGGAAGAGGATGCACGGATCAAATGTTTTCTCTCCGCATGATCACGAAAAAGCTTCTGAGTGTTAACCAGAGGATTTTCTGTGCTTTTGTGGATCTGGAGAAAGCATTTGATAAGGTTATAAGGAAGAAAATGTGGGAACTGTTGCCGGGATATGGTGTGGATGGTCGATTGTTAAGTGCTGTACAGTCACTTTACTATGACTGTAAAGCCTGTGTGCGGGTAGGGTATGACCTGTCACCCATGTTTAGCGTCCAAGCGGGCGTAAAACAGGGTTGTGTCATGTATTCCTGGCTGTTCATACTGTATCTCGACAGCTGTTTACAGAAGCTGAAAAATAGCTGTTTGGGTGTTAAATTGGATGACATTAAAGTAAATTGTCTGCTGTATGCTGATGATGCAGTGCTTATTGCACCATCAGAAGCAGAACTGCAGGCATTAGTCACGTGTATGAAAGAGGAATGTGAAATTAAAGGTCTCCATTTGAATGCTAATGAAACTAAGGTTCTGGTATTTGAAAAGAATGAAGAGAGAACGAAATGTGAAATATGGGTAAATCAGGAATGTCTTGAACAGGTATATGATATTGTATACTTGGGGAGTGCCTTCAGCCGGGATGGAAGATGTGATTTAGATGTGGATAGGCGTGTAGATGCCGGGAACAAAGTCAATGGTGCCCTGAATGCATTAGTCAAAAGGCAAGGCGTGGTGAAGAGTGCACGCCTTTCACTACATAACGCAGTGTTGGTACCGACTTTGTTATATGGCAGCGAAACCTGGGTATGCCAGAAGAAGCATAAAAGCAAGTTGAATGCAGTGGAGATGTGATCTCTTCGTAAAATGTGCGGCGTTACCATAGCCGATCGAAAGCGAAACGAAGAGATTCGCAATAGCAATGATAGGGGACCTTATCCAATGATAGGGGCGTACTCCAATGGTTTGGGCACGTTGAGCGAATGAATGAAGACCGAATGGTGAAGAAAATATATAGAGCGAAAGTAAATATTAAAAGGTGTCGAGGTAGACCGAGACTAACTTTAGAAGACCATGTGAGCAAATTGCTCGAAGAGGGGAAGGTTAAGAGTACTCGGATACCTAGACGTGCATGTATGAAGAAGTTAATGAACCTGAAAAGAAGCGAAAGAGGTATGTAAGGATCGTGACACTTGGCGATCTGTTCTCTCTGGCAACCCCGTTAGGGATTGTGCGTGAAGATAAAAAAAATATTAGTGTGTATTAGTTTTAATTAGTGTTCAATAGTTAAAGTGTCAATTTTGGTAATTCAATCGGCAGTTTTTATTGTCACGAACCTTAAGCTCGTAACAATATTGATAGAAATGGGACTTGAAAAGGATTACTATAGTGGCGTGTTTACTGATTCACAAGCGACCGAGACCGACGTAAACTTGGTCTCGCTAAGCGATGATTTGCTGTAGCAATACGGCTTTCCTGTGGTTATCGTACACCCATACCATTTTTTGGGCGGCGTCGTATCACATAGCGATAGGTCATCTATCTTTTGGATTGGGATGAGTGTGTTTGGTAGCTACTTACTTAGCTTTTAAGTGTAACAAGCATACTCAACTGCATGTCTTAGTGCATTAGCGCTATGACACGTGGAGTTTTTTCCACTGGCGTCTTAGTAGCGTGCCACTATGATACTTTGGTGTTACTTTTAGTTAACAACATTACAAATTTTGTTACCAAAGTGGATAGGGATCATGATGGTGTGTTGTGAGGGGGCGCCATCCGTATGATAGTTGCATTGATGGTTACTGCTACTTGCGGTATTGTGTCTTGTGATGGAACTGCGGGTATGCTGCGTCTGATTCGACGCATCTTGTGGTTCTGGTCGATGGAGGTATGCGGGAGGTGATGTCTGTTGAGATGTATGGGGGACCTTGGGATAGTGTAAGCTCGACAATAGTCTTATTGATGTGGTTCAGCAATTTCTATAAGATGGGAGTGACTGGAGCCGAACAACAGATCATCCATGTAGGAAAGGTGGGTTACATTTGTCCCTCCCTTCCGAACCTGAATTCCCTCCCGGAGACCTCCAGTAAGGTACTGAGGGTTCAGAGAGGGGCAAAAACGATGGAGTATATTCCAGGACGACTGTCTGAGTCCAATCTTTACCCTTATGTGGTTGCCAATAACCGCGTTAATGAGGAGTGGTTACTTGGTTTCACGACCACCGCCCCGAAATTAGTTTAAATTAATTTATGTCATACTTGCCTTAGGTGACCTTATATTAGAGGGATACCTTGATAATGAACCGAAGTTTTGGGGGCGTGGCTTATTCCTTTGTCACTGAAGCTAACGGACGTCTAAAGGAGCGTCAAAATGAAAGTAATGCAATGACTTTATAGAACGCAAATTATGAGATAGCCATACCGAGCAAGCACTCGGGAAAAAAACTAAGTAAGCGCCAAATAACATTTTTATTTATTTTAACAAAACTTCGTTATGTATTAAAAAACTGGTTTATAAGAACTTAGATATGATTATTTACTACGCCTTAAAAATAATTCCATGAACTTATTCGTAAGAATATTGTGGTGTCATTGAGAAATGTAAATAATTAGAGCCTAATTTGCAATTTTTTTCTATAGAGAAAATTACATGATATCGCGTTTTCCTTTTACGCAATCCAAGGTCATATAGTCAAAAATCATATACCAAAGTTTTGGTTTGTAATTTATAAAACTTAAAAAATATGTTAAATAGAAAAACCACCAAGTTTTAGAGGTATCACCTTAATATTTTGCTAACCGACCCGTTTTCATTGCTCGTGAGAATACAGACAGTATATATACATACATACGAGCAATGATTGTATGTATCTCACTCGTATGTCACGTTTACTTCATTATTTACGCCTTTTTGCAGTCAAAATATTCAAACTGATGAACATAGACCTAAGTGATAAGCGATAACGGTAATCGTAATCATAGTTCATAAAAATGATAATGTCAAGGGAATTAAAAAACTACTTGGGATTTGTTTTTGTAAATTATCAAAGTTATAATTAACAAAATTACATATTAGTTTTACGAGCATATTTTAACAAACAAGAAATAATTCTTGATACTTAATAAAATTATATATATATAAATTTGAAAATGTAAGTTTATTAAGTTCTACGACTGAAATGAAGGTAATTTACTATGTCTAAAGGAATAATATCCAGGGGAAATCTATTATTAATTAAGCAAACTTATTCAACACAGCTCAGATTCAAGCTCGCAGCTTGCCACTTTACCATATAGCTTCACTTTATTGTTTCAAAAAGTAACAAATATTTCAATAACAATTTGTATTTACTAATTAATACCAAATACATACTATTTGGTAATTGTTCTAAAATATATCGTACGCCAAAGAAAGGCTGTAAGATTGTAACAAACAATAGTTTAGATAATGTCTTGATAAATGTTATGCATTTAGAGGAGACAGTTGACATTGCAAATATACCAAATGTACATTAGGATAACAAAATTATAAAACAACCGTCTCGTAGATAACGTTTTATGAAGTGCGATGAGTGAAGATTCATTTGCGTTTGATTATAAAAATAGTGGTATTGATACTGTGGGAGACGACGAAGATACATTACTCTTTGTTATAAAATTTTGTTTGTTTGTGATAGAAACAAAAGATGGATGTGGAATTTTTGAAATCCAAATTTCAAGATAGCTATGATGGCGTCATTACAAAAACAAGTAAGTGTCTTTTTCATAATGATAAAAGTTTATGTTTGATCTCTTCGTTTTAAACAATATTTTGAATGTAAGCACGCTGCTGCTATATTATGGTTATAGCATAAATAGGTCGGCTCGACAGGGAAGGACCACGCTCTCACAGAAAACCAGCGTAAAATAGCTTAACGCTGCTGTGTTTCGTATGGTGAGAGTAGAGAAACGGAGACCCTTTTTTTCTGGGATCAAGGCATTTCATCTTAATCCTCAGGGGTGACAACGCAGCTGTATTTTGAGTCTTAATCGGATGTAGATATCCATGGGCCACAGCATTCACTTACCATCAGGTGTACTGTGTGCTCGTTTGTCTCGCTTATTTATTTAAAAAAAATAACGGTAATAAATGAGCACAAAGTCCACCTGATGGTACGTGGATGCTATGGCCCATAGACATCATTTATCCTCGATTGAGAATCAAAACTCAGATGTGTTGTCGCCCCTAAGGACCAAGATGGAATGCCTCATAAAAGTGCCTTCCAGTAAAAAAGGGTCTCTGGATATATACACTCATCATTCGAAACACAGAAGTATTAAGCTGCTATTTTACGCTGATATTCTGTGAAAGCGTGGTCGTTCCCCGGTTGAGCTGACCCAATCTTTTTTATAGGTTAGGGTGGCGAACGAGCACACAGTGCACCTGATGGTAAGAGGTTGCTGTGGCCCATAGACATCTACATCTATCCTCGATTACGAATCAAAATGCAGATGCGTTGTCACCCCTGAGAACTACCCGGTCAAGCCAACCCATTCGTGCAAAAACTATACTATTAGTATAACTGAAGCATGACTCTACCACGTAATTTACCATTCGTGATACAACCATAACATAGCCACAGCGTGGTTCTACCACGTATTAAAAAAATCTTTGTTCTTCCTTTACATAGATACTTGTTCCATCTGTGCAATATGAATTTAGCGAGGAATACAAATCTAGCTAATCTTGTTAAATAATATTTCTGTAAAAATATGGTATGTATTATATATTCCTATTAGATGTATTGTTGCTAAAAATTATATTTATTTTTACACAGCGGTTTTATAATTTGATCTACCTCCCAATGTCATAGTTAGCCCGACTACCTTCAGCTTTTTAATATTAATTTTTCGGTCCGATCTTTTTATAAGTATTAATATTAAAAAACTGAAGGTATCCGGGCTAACAATGACATTGGAACGTCAAACATCTCAGTCCGCCCCGTTACCATGGGTGCTGTAAAGAACCCGAAACGTCGAGAATTAAAAAAGTAAAATTAGTTAATTAAACGCGATAAAATCCGTAAATGTAGTTTTATTCAATGTGTAGTGTTCGCGTAAATTTAAAAAATCATTATTTTTAGCTGTTATTTGGATTGGATTTGAATTTTAAAGCCAAGCAGTTTTCAATTAATAGGATTTTAATATGACAGGAACAGTGGAAATATTCCATTCCCGATACTTTTAGTGCAGCCTAGTACTAGACTTTCAGTTTACTTATATAATAAAATAAACCAAAAAATCAATATTTACTCTATGAATTACCATGACTCTAAAAAACCGTAACAGACTGGTTAAGAAATCTTTCCTATGAAAAATTCGAATTCCTTCTCGAAAACACTGCCTTATGAATTTTCATTTCTGCACACACATTTTTGCACACTATCACGCAAATATCGTTAATTATACCTTACTTGCAGTTTAAATTGTTTAGCTTTTGATTTATTTATGAATTTTTTTTGTTATTTTCTTTTTTTTGTGTTACTTAATTCTAATTTAAAGTAGTAACATAATTGTAATAAGAAAGAGCGGAGCCCTCTACTACAGGTATCTATTTACTTAAAAGAGGGTTGTTTTAAAGTAATAAATTATCATTAAATTATCACTGAATGAATCACTGCAAATGTAACTTTGTAATCCTATATGTTTATATAGGATTACAAAGTTCTTTATGCAGTTAGTGTATCTAGAAAACTGGACCGAAATTGAAAAATATTTTAGTTTTTTCTTGATTTGTACACTAAACACTAATTGTGTTCTAAGTTTGAAGCTTTTATGTCTGCTAGAAGTGCCTTAGAGTTTTGATGATCGGTCAGTCAGTGAGTGACAAAATTAAGAAACTTTTACTAATTGAATGAAATTTGAAGTATACCGTGTGTATACAATGCTTGCTTGGTTTCTTGAGTTCTGTTTCAGGTTTCTAGTTTTATCCACAACGAAATTATAGGGGGTCAAAAATGGCCTGAATTGCTTCGAGAAAAGTATGGTACGGCCGTGCCGCTTTTTTGCTCGACTTGCCGGGGGCACTGCCGTGCCCCAGATTATTATAATTATTAATATACCTAATTGTGTGTTCTACACGAAACGAAATAAATAAATTATTAATAAAATAGTTTTCTGTCATTTATTCCAGAGTTCAAAATAGGAGTCCGTCATGTACAAATGTTGTACATGTTCCTGAGTACTGTCGTAATGGGAGCAATGCGTGGTTGTATTGGAATTGAAGTATTGGCGATAGTCGATTCCACGCGACGCAATGACTCATACATTCATGTAATTAAAGCTTAATTTCTGTAAAGGTAAAAGTATCACAAATAATTGAATAACGGGCAGCTCATCCTAATATTAACTCAGAGTATGGTCCCTTGGCTGTCGAAGGTAAAAATAAAAATTGGAAAAAAACTGCCAATGCTTCAAGTAAAAAGAAAGTTAAAGTTACAGCCTATATAAGTCCCGCAGCTGGACACAGCCCTGCTCTCATTTCTAAAAGGACTTGAGGGCAAGGAAATATCCGCCGCGCTGCCCTAATACGTGTTCTGTTCGAAATAAATTGCTTTTTATTATTTCTTTTTTCACCACCGAGCACGTAGTAAATCATCACTTAAAATTATAATTAACAATTTCATTTGTGCCCGCGGGGATCGAACTCTGGTTGCTCGCGTACTGTGAGATTTACAGCGAGCGCCTCGCCCTTATGCTACCACGGCTCGTATAATGAAAATGTTATAGTGGTAATACGAAACTTCTATTTTTTTTATGGAATAAGGCAACACACAGACTTCTTGATGGTAAGTGGATGCTGCGTCTTACAGACATCTACATCTATCCTCGATTATGAATAAAATGCAGATACGTGGTCATCCCTGGGGACTAAGATGGAATGTCTCGTTTCCAGTAAAAAGCGTTTCCGGTACTTCACACACACTACATATACACTATAACATAGAAAAATTAAGCTGCTATTTTACGTTAGTATTCTGCAGGAGCGTTGTCCTACCCTGGACAAGCCGAACAATTCGCGCTAAACCCATAATATAGCTGCAGCATTACTCTATCGCGTTGGAATATAGAATTGTAAAATTATAAATAACACTATTTTCAGATACATGACTGGGACAGGCGAGTTCAAGGAACAATTATATCATCTTTCTTCTTTGGATATGCACTCATGTTGATTCCAGCTGAATTTTATTTGAAGAGACTCGGTGATAAGTTTGTAATAACATCCGTGCTTTTAATTAACGGCGCTTTAAGTGCTGCGATGCCCACAATAGTTAATAGGGTAAATATTTTGCTGCCACTTTGTAATATATTACTTTATCAATTTTATTTATTACTTAGAAATGATGTTCTCGTTATAACAACAGTAGACATATTGATGTACTCTTGAAAATGATGGAAATAAACCAGGATATGGGCAGCAGCGACTTCTGGATAACAACTCAAAATTATAAAATACTGATGTTGCCTACCCTTTTGCGAAACGTAGCAACTGTGACGAAATCACCCCATGAGACAATCTATGGGGAAGGCCTATGTTCAGCAGTGCATTTTTATAGGCTTTAATGGAATGGATGATACACCCGTCGTGCCCTCTTCATCAGTAGTGATGATATTAATACAAATTTATAGCACTTATTTTTATTATTTATTCTCTATACTATTCGTTACTTCAGTCATTCTAGTAGAAGTCCATTGATAGGCCTCCACTGTTGATTTCCTCTTACTCATCCACGGTTTTTATGATGATGCTGCTGCCTCTTTCCTATTTCATTTCCCTCTGTCGCCTCTTACGACACGCACGGAACGACACAGGGACTACTCCAACTGATATTCTTAAACTGCCACTATAAAGCTATACTATTAATAAAATATGAATCAGTAAACTGAAATAGCAACACAGCAGCAGTATGTTGCTATTTCGCACTAGTATTCTATACAATTGTAGTACTTTTTCGGTCAAGCCGACCAATTCGTACTGAATTAAATTACAGAAATTAAAAAAGAGATTAATGCTTGAAACCGTATCTTAAATTAATCTTTTAAATATGGAAAAAATATATTAAGTGAAAAAAATATATTTATTTTATAATATTTTATTTCAATTTATTTCGTTTCATTTTATTTGTTTCCACTTCAATAAATTTCATTTCAAAGACGTTTTCTCCGTAATCCACGCCATTTTGAGTACTTCTAAGTCTAATGTTATGACTTATGTATAATTTTAGGGTGGATGGGCTGCGATGTGCAACGCCCATTTTCTAATGGGTATGACGCAGGCATGCATATCGCCTATTAACCAAGTACTATTGTCTAAGTGGCTGCCACCAATTGAGAGAAACACAATTGGTTGTTTAATTGATACAGGTAAATTTAAACAACATATTTATACTATTATATTTATTTATTTAAACTTTATTACCATTCATACATACTTTTGTTCACTATATTATATCAACGGGAAAAAAGGTTCTCGAAAGGCAGCCTTGTACCGATAGGCAAAGTGTAGTACGACCCCCCACTAGATGGAGTGACAACCTGGTAAGACATGCAGGAAGTTGATGAATGCAGGTGGCTCAGGACCGTGTTTTGTGGCATTCCTTGTGGGAGGTCTATGTTCAGCAGTGGACTGGTGAAGGGCTGTAATGATGATGACGATGATGATTATATCAGAGATCTACTACTGAAAATAGGCTTCCGCCATATATTGTCTCATAGGGTGGGATAATTTGCCATTTTTGCCACTCACTTCCTCATATTAGTTCACCGATTTCGTAAGAGGCAACTGATGATAAGGGTATAAGTATCCTACTGATAGCAACTAAAATAAAAAAATAAAATGTTGCTGCCTATCAGCTTGCATTACATCAAATACCTCCCCTTAGAGACACTGTACGGAGGAAACCTATTTTGAGTAGTGAACTTCTGTAAGTCTGTGATGAGTAATAAATGAGTGACCTCTCATGATAATAACGCAATAAAATTTAACGAATTTCTTATTTTGTCAACATAAAAGTTTTTATAAGAAAATAAATAAAAAATAACTATTTCAGGACTATACTTGGGAATTATTTTCGCTATACTAGTAGCTGGATTACTCTCCGAGACACGCTTAGGTTGGGAGCTTATTTTTTATTCTCAAGCGATTATAACTCTTTCAATGGCTGTGATATGGGGTCTACTTACCGCTTCTTCACCCGAAGAGCACCAAGCTGTTGGTGATTCCGAAAAAGAGTATATAAAAGAGACTTTGGCTTGCTATCGTAAGGTAAAAGACAACGGATTATTCTTTATCATGACCAGACGTTTTACAATTCTGCTGATGATGTGACGAAGAAATCACAAGTCCTGGTATTTTACGCTTAGTAAATATGAAAATTATTTTACAATTTTTGCTGTCATGCATGAGGAATAAGATGGAATGCCTTGTTTCCATTAAAAAGGATCTCCGGTTTTCTTCATTCATCATAAGAAACACAGCCGCATTCAGTCATTTTACGCTGATATTCTGTGAGACCGTGGTTCTTCCTAGTACGAACCAATTTATTTGTGCTTAAAACATAATATTGCTGCAACACTAAAGCAGCAGCAGCAAAGTTTCCCATCCAATATTTTGTTAGTCGCCTTCTACGACATACTAGCCAGTTCACATATTCTTTTTAGTTATATGTCCCAAGCTTACAAGTCTCGAAACTAGTATAAGATTTTCCTATTATTTTTCTATTTTAACTTTAACGACACGAATGGGAAGGTGGGGCAGTAAAATATCTGAAACTACTAGCACCATCACCTCGAACATGCAGATTCTTCTTTTTAATATTTTTTTTAATTTACCGCTGAATTTGTGTAAGTTTTATCATAAAACCGACATATGTAACTGGAAAAACCTTGAACGCTGGAAAGGCGACTTGGTGAGCGCTGGTTTCAGGTGCTAAATGCCTGCCATAAATTTAAAAGAACATGAGCAACCCTTGTTCAATCCTCGCCGGCACTAATGAAAATTGCTATTGTAACTAAGCGCTAATTTACCACGTGTTTGAAGGTAAAAAAAATCGTGAGGAAACATGCATGTCACAGGAATAAAAATTCGAGGATTTGTGAAGTTCTTCAACGGTTATTTAAAAAAAACACTATAACTGAAACGCTGAGCTATCGCAAACTTGCGATAACCTATTTTAGGAATTAGAGAAAGCCTGTGAGTGGAACGCAAATTATAGTCTGAAACTTCATTAGGAACTTTACTTTATAACTCTTATGTCTCCCCGTAATAGCTTATAAATGCCCACTAATGGAGATAGATCTCTCACATAGATTGCTTCGTATTTGTAACAGTTGCAACGCTTTGCGGGCAGGTTGACAACCGCAGGTTTTTATTTTTTATTTTTAATAGGTAGACGCTGCTTTCGTCCTTATATTATAAATGTATATTAATGATGCCAAAATATTATTCTTGTCAGATCCTTCAATTGTTTCAGTTCTATGGAATTTTATATAAAATCGTTATTTTTTTCAGAAACGTCTGCAAAAGCCATGGCGCAGTATTCTCCGGTCACGACAAATTTGGGCAATCTTATGCTCACACGCAGCCAGCAATATCTTGTTCGTCTTTTATTTAGTTGACGTTCCATTGTATTTGAAGTTTTTAGGACTAACATTGAAAGAGGTAATTTTTTATCTAAAAGCCTTATTTGAACGAGATGAGATGGCAATATTGCCGACGACGTAGCTATGAAAATCTTAAATCGCTAGATGATGTTGACAGTAGTTTACGACGTGATAATTTCACGTACTATTAATAATTATATTAATATATATATATATACGTGGGACAACCACGATGCATCTATATTATAATTGTAGCACGAAAAAGCCGGATTGACCAGAAAACCATTACGCTCTCACAGAATACCAACTTAACTTTACTTTACTACTATAGTAGTAAACGTCAGGAATTAAAAATAATTAAAAATAATCGCGATAAAATCCGTAAAAGTAGTTTTGATCAATGTGTAGTGTTCGCGTAAATATAAGAAATCATTTTGTAACATAGTAGTTTAATGCTGCCGTGTTTCGTTTGGTAAGTGTTAAGAACCGGAGATCTTTTTTACTGGTATTGGGGTATTTCGTCTGAGTCCTCAGGAGTGGCAACGCATCTATATTTTCGTTCTTAATTTTTTTTATATATTAATATTATGGTTATAGCATAAATAGGTCGGCTCGACTGGGAAGGACCACGCTCTCACAGAAAACCAGCGTAAAATAGCTTAACGCTGCTGTGTTTCGTATGGTGAGAGTAAAGAACCGGAGACCCGTTTTACTGGGATCAAGGCATCTCATCTTAATCCTCAGGGGTGACAACGGATGTAGATGTCTATGGGCCACAGCATTTACTTATCATAAGGTGAACTGTGTTCGTTTGAAATTATTCTATAAAAAAATCGAGAGCCAATTTAAAATGGCGGCGTATTACGTAACGTTGAGGTCAATACTGTACTGAATTGCTGTGATAACTAAGAGTTTAGCACTTGATACTGCCGGCAGCACTTATAATATTAATTTTAATTTAAATTACTCATTTACTACGTTCTCGGCCGAGTAATTTCATATTGAGCGTAAAATCAAAAATTGTAGACACCTGAAGATTTTTTTTATAGAATAAGGGTGACAAACGAGTACAGAGTCCACCTGATGATAACTTAAGAATCAAAATGCAAATGTTATGACTAATATGGAATACTGGAATGACCCGTTTTCAGTCAAAAATTCTCCGGGTCTTCATATTATGCACTATACGAAACACAGCAGCATTAAGGTGCTATTTCTCGCTGGTATTCTGTGAGAACGTGTTCCTACCGCGTTGCAGGCATTCGTACTATAACCATATTAAAGCTATAACGTGGCATTAACACCTAAAAAGAAGTCCGCTAACACGTATAGGCACAGCGCGGAAGACACTCGAGGTCTGAATGGCATATCGTGAATCGTATCTTTATTTACTTTTTCTCTTCCAATTTTGCCACGTGACTAATTTCTCCAATAGAGTTTCTGTATCCTCAAGACTCCTTGTGAGGTATGGCTTAAAACGTAAAATATTACTCTATTTTTGTGGGGAAAGTAAAGAAACTATCGAAAATTCGTCGCGTTAAATGCATGTATATATGCACAGTTGAATGTAACACGGCAATCTTTTTTATAACAGCCTATCAAAATGAGAGGAGGCTTGTACAAAGCTGTAATTTTAATTTTGACTTACTCTTCCAGTTTGCTCCTAAATGGTCGTCCATTGACATCACTATTATTACAGCCCTTCACAAGTCCACTGCTGAACGTCGTCCCCCACAAGGAATCCCACAAAGCACGGTCCAGAGCCACCTGCATTCACGCTCGTTTTTTTTTGAAACCGTTACCTCCACACTCGGATTTTCTCCAGTATCGTGGAAGCAGTTTACATACATAAGTTGCAAAAGGACAAACAATCAGATCCGGAAAAATTACTTGTAGACTCAAGAAATACTTGCTCCGTGCGGAATTCAAACCTACGTCCCTCATCGCTGTAACTTTTTGCTAATTCAATGTGCCACGGGGCCGCCAATTTTTCCGCTCTTATATAAAAATACATTGAACATATATACAACATAATACATTGTTTTCGCGATTGGCAGGCAGGGTATTGGATTAAATTACGCCCCCTTGTAGTGCCAGTGTTAGTGAATCCTGCGTCATTTATTTAAATAACAAAATAAAAGCCTCTTTAATAGATAATTATTATATGATCCGGACCGACTTTCAGTCATGATGGCCATTCTCCAACAAAGAATAGCAAGAATAGCTATCTGCGCAGGACAGGGTTATAGGGACCGAGTGTTTGCGCAAGCACAGGTGCACTCTCTCTTATAGTCCAATGGGACGATAAACTAACACGACTAGGGCGAAATCTGGTTTAGAACCAACCAGGCTTTTTAATATGTTATTTGTTTTCTTTCTGTTCAGCAATGGCTATTGTTTTGTATTATATTGTATCTTATTTGTGTCCGACTGGGATTCGAACCCGGGACCTCGTGATGGGGAATCACGGTTACAAACAATAGGCAGTCAAACTAGATGCCTAGAAAGCTAGCAATTCGCTTTGCACGGATGCCAATCAATACTTTGATGATATATTTTTGCCACAGCATCCACTTAACATCAGGTGGACTTTGTGCTTGTTTTTCACCCTTATTATATATATTAAAAAAAAATTCTTAATTCCAGTGCGCACAGCATACGATGTTTGCGTTTATTGCTTTATGGTTTATGTATACAACCACGGCTCCAATCGTCGATTGGTTTTTCAAAACTGGATTCGTAACTTACTTATGCAGTGTGACAAACGCAAGGAAATTAGTGAATGCTCTAGGTAGGTAAGTGATTAATTTATGTCATTTAAAAAATCAAAATAAAGATGGTGTGGCCGTGGTAGGATAAGGGGAGATCTCCCGCCAGGCAAGGTGTTCTGCCCGGGGAGCGGCGGACACTCCGTGTGATAGTTCGGAAATGTTTTATATATACTGTTTATGATTCGGAATGTTGATAGCGCGATTTAGGCTTCGGTGTGTTTTCGCTTGTGGCGGCGACGACAGCGCCGCTACATCACCCCCCTGCTTAGACCGGAGTTCGATAGTGCAGCCTCGTTGCCGACGAATGCGCGACTGCCAGGAGATTGCCTTGTAGTCTGCGGTGAGTCGAGACGAAGGTAAGTAATCTGCGATAGTGCCGTAAAGCAGAGGCGAGCAGTAAGGCTCAGAGCCGTGCCAAACACTGTAGCGCAGAGAGTAGCTTGAAGGAACAGGAAGCAGTATTATTCCAGTGCTGCGATGAACCTTGTGAAGCTAGATGGCTTGCAGGATATGAAGACTGCAGTTTATATCTGCTCGGGATAAAATGGGTGGGGTATTCTATGACGATGATGAAGCTTGAAGTTTCCGAAGGTTGTTTGGTTGCGTGTTCAGATCACGTCGGATGGTCACCACTGTGGCCGTGAAGGAAAAGGGGAGATCTCCCGCCGGGTAAGGTGTTGTGCCCGGGGAGCGGCCGATACTCCATGTGATAGTTCGGAAATGTTCTATATATACTGCTTATGATTCGGAATGTTGATAGCGCGATTTAGGCTTCGGTGTGTTTTCGCTTGTGGCGGCGACGACAGCGCCGCTACAATGCTAAAAATGATCATCATATTCAATATAATTGATTTCGGCAAAGAAAAGTCTCATTATATTAAATATATAAATAATAATAATAATATTAATCTATAATTAAATAATATTATAATTACAGCATAATCCTACTGCAAATTCGGTAAATCGTGGGTTCGAATCGAATTCGAATGGTGCGGCACTATTATTGAACACTAAGTTACATCTAAGTCTCACTACATTTATTTATGTATTATACTACCATATATATTATTGTACGTGGTAGAACCACGCTGAAGTTATATTATAATCATGAAAGTGTCGGCTCGACCGGGAAAGGTGCGCACACAGAATACCAGCTTGAAACAGCATCTTCATTCTGCTATGTTGCATCGCCTGCCAAGCGTGGCAACTTTAGCAAATACTTCTGGTGGGGCAATCTATGGGGGAGGCCTGCATTTTTAATAAACTCGAATGGTTATGGTAATTGTTATCACTTACCACTTTACCACTTTACTTACCACTTTATTTTAAAGAATTACAAGAGGAGTACTTAATACTTTCTGGAATTCTCTGCCAGTTAACCCGGGCGTGGAAAAATACTTAGGTTCGCTAATTTTTTTCTTATCACCGAGTACATCGAAAATTAATAACCCAATTCAACATTTAATTTGTGCCGGCAGATTCGAACTTTGTCTACGCAAAGCTTGGAAGTAAGGGTCCGTTCATACAACGTTTAATCCTTATTTACGAGTACTTAGAAAATGAAAAAATTATAACACTTCCAAATTCTTTTGTTTCAGGAGCTTTCTCAATTGTAATTGGATTAATGATTTTGCCAAATATCACGGTCGAGTGGCCTTATTTAAGAATATCAGTATTAATTGGTACACTGGGAATACTCGGGTTTCAATATTCTGGTTTCCTGGTATGTAATAGTTTTATAAAGATACATATTAAAATGAACCATGAGTCTATCACATGTATAGTCAGGAATACTACTAATAATTTAAGTGGTTTCTGTTTTTTCATTCAACACTATTCCCCCATTTCCCTTTAAATTTAATGCTGAAGATAGACCTTCCCCAAAGAAAGCCTGACTTTTGTCGACCGCGATTGATTCGGTCATTTGAGCCAGGTCGGGTGTTGATGATTGCAATCCGGTTTTAGGGGGACGAGGCTGCTCACGTCCGTAGAAAATAATTGAAATCTAAAATACTTGAATCACAATGAGGCGCTTTGCATAAGAAGCAACTTTAGTCGAGACAACTATCAACTTTTCGAAAGGTTTCTTTACAAATTTCCAGTTGCTACAACCAAATAGACTGGTATACAGTTGCAGCAATTTTATGGCAATCTGTGAGCAATGTTAATAGCTTAGTTGCTCAATCTACGCAGCGATCAGCATTGTCACGATGGATACCGAAGAAGGAGCACTTACTCTCATTTTATTAAGTCATCGCCGTCGACGGCGTCAACAAAGACAAAAAGGCAGGTGTATATTTTACAGTTGCTAGTTGCACGACCGCGACCGCACCAACCCACAGCACTTCAAACCATTAAAACGTATATTTAGAGACAACTTTATAAAAAGAAGTTTGGCATTATAGAATCAATATGAAATTTTATATCTTCTAGTGCAATAAAAAGTCAGTTAGTCTATAGATATTTATTTAAAATCTACGTTCATTGCGTACACCATTTTCATTTGGAGGTTGTTGTTTTGATTTTTGGATTTTTCTAGTGTTTTAGTATAGTGTTTTATTATAAAATGGTAAGAAACTCTTTTTGTGAATATAATTTATCTTTCTACGTAGAAAATTTCGAATAATATATAGAAATAATAGTGATTTTTACGCTGCCGACATCCGCGTGGTATGTACCTACCCGTTTTTTGTTATCAAAATAGAACCTGACTTTTGTTCAGACCATAGAATAGAGAATTTTATAAAGATTTTATACTGCCTAACTTCTTTGTAGAAAAATAGTCTCTAAATATAAGTTTTAATGGTTTTAAGTGCTGTGGGTTGCTGCGGACCGCTCGGGATATGACGAACGCATGCGACTGCATGGGATTTTATGGCAATTGAAGGGTTAACTCATCATCATTTTTTAAACACAGCCCATTTGATGACTTTTGGATGCTGTGTCTCATAGACATCTTTATTTACACATAATACAGCTTAAGCGTAATTCTTCTTTTCTATTGTCTATTATTTACGGGCTGATAAAAAAGAATAAGGAATCAATTTAATATTAGTATTATTAAATGAAACTAGAATTATTTTTTATAACAGTACAAATGACAAAGAAATAGAGAAGTAATATTACAAAGCAAATGGACAGACAGTTTTACTCTGAGCATAAACAATTTCTGCGTTTCTCCGACAATTAACTTCACTTCTTTTACCGACCTAAAAGAATCAACCTTTTGTTGTCCCAAGGGTGTGGCAAGAGGTGTGTTTGTGAACAATTTTTTTTACATCAAATTGTGCAATTGGATCACCAGCTTTCTTGCAGATTGGGGTATCATGGTCGTTGTAGACGGTGCAAGCTCCGATTACAAGCCTATTAATGCTGGTGTTCCACAAGACTGCGTGCTATCACCAACGCTGTTTCTTTTGCACATCAATGATATGTTGTATACCGGCAACATTCATTGCTATGTAGATGAGAAAACGTCTCCGAGTACTGGGAAAAACTTGTGTCTGAAGTCAAGTCTTTGCTGAACAAAGTCTCGGATTGGGGGCGACTAAATCTAGTCCTGTTTAATCCTCAAAAGACACAAGTTTGCGCGTTAACCGCTAAAAAGAACCCCTTTGTCTTATCTTCTCAGTTTCAAGGCACTCCCTTAGTTGTCTCAGCCAGTATCGGAATCCTCGGCGTCGACATATCGAGTGACGTGCGGTTTTGTGGTTACTTGGAAGAGAAGGCCAAGTTGGCGTGCTCAGCAGAGCGGGACAGTATTTCATGCCGGCACACCACCTGCAACTTTACAAGGCGCAGATTCGGCCGCACATGGAATACTGTTTCCATCTCTGGGCTGGATCTCCCCAGTACCAGCTCCTTTCACTTGACCGCATCGAGCGCAAAGCGGCTCGAATCGTCGACGACCGAATGTTTTCCGATCGGCTCGATTCGCTGGCGCTGCGAAGAGATGTTACATATTTTTGCGTATTTTATCGCATCTGTCACGGGGAGTGCTCTGAGGAATTCTTTGGATTAATCCCAGTCGCCAAATTTCATTCACGCACTACGCAGCCAAACTCCCGATACCATCCACACCATTTCAATGCTTGGCGGTCCACCACTGTACGTTTCACTAGGAGTTTTCTTCCAAGTACGACCTCTCTGTGGAATAGTTTACCACCAGCGATTTTTCCGGACCGATACGACCTAGGGACGTTCAAGAAAAGAGCTTACTCCTTTCTAAAAGGATGGCAACGCACCTGCAATTCCCCTGGTGTTGCGGATGTTCATGCGCGGCGGCAGTCAATTAAAATCGGGTGAACCGTGTTCTCGTTTGCTCCTTCTTCTATAAAAAAGGTGACAGGGGGAATTGATGCATGAGAGGAACAGGAGCATCTTCCCTATGTAGCAAGCTATGGGATTGGCTGATGTTCAGTAGCGGTTTTTTTAAAGGCTGCAACAATAATGATGACTATTATTATTATTCATAATGAATATAATATCTATCTATCATGTAGTAGTGGTGTAAGGATAATCACAATCACATATCATCCTGTGGATGTCGTAAGAAGGTAAATGGGGAAACTATAACAAGAGAAAGGCGGCAGCATTTTCTTGATAATAACTCAAAATAATATAAAGCTACGACTGTCAACCCACTCGCCAAGCGTGATAACTATAGCAAAATCCCACCTTTAAAGCAAGCCACTTCCATGCCACGTTTATAGTCCGTAATGGATGAATACATATATAATTTATTAGAAGCAAAAAAAAAGGAAAGGTAATATCCATAAACGCTGGTGGCTTTGTGTCGCAGTGGTTTATAAATGAGTTGCAGCGCTGAAGGCGCGTGTTTAGATCCCGAACAGAACAAGCATTTTTATGGCCTATATGGCTGGGTGCTTGTCCTTTTGTAATTTATGAATATAAACTGCCACCACGATACAAGAGAAAGTCCTAGTGTGATATTTTTGTTTCTTAAATATACAAAACAAAGAAAGTTAACTAACATATGGATGTTTGCAGGAAAATCTTCGCGACATCAGTCAAAATTATTCTGGTACTTTAATTGTAGTGTCCAGTTCCTTTGCGAGCATGCTAGCGGCGGTGACACCACTGATCAATGGACTCATTCTTAGGACTGAAGTGGTAGTATTTAATCTGTACATATAAATAAATTCAATTTATTTATATGTACAGATTAAATTAATTATTAATAAATTGAAAAATTATTATTTTTCTTTTTCTGTTGCAAATAAGAACAGCTGAACCTTATTATAACATAACACAACATAAACACACATCTGTCTCCCAGAGAGGTAGGTAGAGACAACAGACTTCCATTTGGTACGATCCTGCCAGACTACTCTCACCTCTTTCACACGCATATACTTACGTATATGCGTGTGGAAGAGGCGAGAGTGGTCTGTGGCATACGTACTCTTCGGTTAAGGGTAGAATTAATTTGACCCATTTGCAATATATCGCCAATTTGATTGGTAAACTTTCGCCAAAGGCGTCCCTTTCCGACTCTGCAGTTCAATTCTGCAACATTAAGGAAACAAGTTCTTTTTTTATAGGGAATGGGCCCACCACAAATTTTAAGGTTTCGTAATGAAATGCATGTCGATTTATTTCTCATAATCTACAGATTATATACTCGTATTATTAGTTTAACATGATTTTAACAATAATCTAAAACAAACTGAAAGCGATTTTCTAGTAGTTTTCACCGCTATTATAAGTTAAAATAGTGCACTGTTGAACAATTGTAGTACATTTATAACAAAGTTGTAGGTATACTCAGCATTTATAGGTACTTTAAGATTGATGGAAAAAAATCACTAGTTCCGGCAAAATACAGTACCTGTCTGTGCACAAATATCGTATGGATTCTACGAGTATTTTTGACATAATATATTGATTGGTTGTGAGTGTACATTCCAAATACCATTAAAGTAATATGATTAAAGCCAAGATGAATAGGAAGTCCTTTTATATTTGTACTGGTACAATTAATAACTGCATTTTTTACACATAAATATATGTGCCATCCATATGTATATCTACTATGGCTGGTATGCATACAAGATCCATTTCATGCTTACCAAATAATCCATTTAGTATTAGAAACTTGCTGAATACATCGACACAAAGATTCCAATTTTCTTTTAATGAACACAAAAACTTTTTTGGAGTATTTAATATATTTATTATTAAATTTAGATTTTTTTCATAACATAAATTTAATATTATTTCACTTTTAACGTAAAAATAAGGTTCTAAGACTGTGTGTCATTTTTTTTAGGTAATTCAACATACTGTTACGAGCTTGAGAGATTAACACTTTAATTTTCTTTACACATATTTAAACTTAAAACACTAATAATTAATCACACTGATTCACTTTATTCCGCTCCGAAGCTTCGCTTGTCTCGCCAAATTCAATACTTCCCCGATCGCACCTTGTAGCGCCTATAAATACACATTAGTACCGAATCATCCAGAACATTTAAGTAAATACGCACACCAATCGACAAAGTGCCGAAAGTTCGAGTCAGCTTCCAGAAGCTTAGTTCTTCCTTTCGACAACAGATGGCACTGTCGGTTGAAAGATTAGTGATGTCATTTTCTGGAAAGCTCTCCCCCTCGCTCCGTTACCCGACACTAGATGGCGCTAGTGCCAAATGTCAACTTAGCCGCGCAACACTGTCCCCTCCTAAGACATGCTCGTCCCGAGCATTATCGGCCCCATAATAATGCGCCAGGCGATCCACATGGACGATCTTAGGAGTCCCTCTTGCGCCCTTCTGTATCCGATAGGTTACGTCGTTGATCCTGGTCCCAATCCGGTACGGGCCGTCCCATTTAGCTTGAAGCTTAGGAGATTTCCCTTTGCTGCGGACCGGATTTTGCAACCACATTAATGAACCTTCGTCGAACCCTTTGCTGTTCATTTTGCTGTCATACCGGGTTATCATCTTTTCAGACATTTGCTGGCCCGATTGTCTGACGTGTTCATAAATGTCATTCATTTTGTTCCGCAAGTCATTTGCATAATCGGTTATACTGCGTGGGGCATCAGGTAGTATCCTGGTGATCAGGTCTGCAGGCAGCCGTAACTCTCTTCCAAAGTTTGCGAAAGCTGGTGTCACTGATGTACTTTCGTGAACAGCGTTTCGATATGACAGCAAAAACGGTTGTATGTGCTTATCCCAATCTCGTTGCCGGTTGTCTACAACCTTTGCTAGATACCTCTCCAATGTCTGATTAAATCTTTCTACCATTCCATCAGATTGCGGGTGATAAGAAGTCGTTCTTGTTTTATGAGTACCCATAACTCGGCAAGTTTCCTGGAATATTTGAGACTCAAAATTCCTTCCTTGATCGCTGTGAATCTCTAAAGGTACTCCAGAACGAAAGAAGACTTCATGAACTAGTTTATCTGCAACTGTTGAAGCTTCTTGATTTGGAATGGCGAAGACTTCTGGCCACTAAGTTAAGTAATCCATCACAACCATGAAATATATGTTACCGCTTTCACTCTCCGGAAACGGCCCCGCCACGTCAATGGCTATTCTCTCCCATGGTGCACCAACATTGTACAACTTCAATGCACCTCTACTACGAGTCTGAAGTCCCTTTACAGCCGCACAACTTGTACATTTGCGACACCAGTCCTCGACATCGTTTCGACAGTGGACCAAATAAAACCGTTCTCGGATCTTCAGTAGAGTTCGTTTAACTCCCAGATGACCTCCGGAATAATCATTATGGTACAGCTGTAGAACATCAAGTACTTTTAGCTTTAGGGACATCCATTTGCAAATGACAGTTGTGTTTCCGAACATTTTCCCATTTACGGCACGGAACTCCATCCTGAAGTCGCAAGCTGTCCCACTGGGCCCAATAGCTTTTAGTGGTCGAACTAATCACTGAGACGTCGCGCCACTTGGGCTTGGTAGCACTGGCCTTCATCCATTCCAGAATTGGCTTGATATCCGGATCTTCCTGCTGTGCACGTTGTAAGCTGTCCTTGTCCGTCACTCGTTGCTGAGGTGGTCTGCCCTGAGCATCCTCACGAATACCAATTCCTTACTCTCTTGCCTAGTACAATATTTGCAATCTTCAGGACAAGGTCTTCTTGACAATGCATCTGCGTTGCCATGAGATTTCCCGCTCCGATGTCTGATAGTAAAGTTGTATCCCGGCTGCTGCTTCGCGGTGATGTTAGCCGCACTTCCCTTCTGAGATCGTTCACCTTCCCTTTCTAGGGTTCGCTTAGGGCAGCTGGATCGAAGATGGCCCTTTTCCCCACAGCCATAGCACCTAGGGCTGTATCCTCTGTTGCACTCGCGAACTGTAGCTGCTGCAACCTCCCTGACAAGATGGGAACGATGATCCTGCCGCACGGCTTCCACCTCCAGTGCATGGGCCATGGCGTCCTTAAGCGTCCCGTGGTACCCGAGCCTCACAGCAGCTCTGACTTCCAGGTCGCGGATGCTGTCGATGAATGTCTGCACCAGGTTCCCTTCAATGAGCGCAGGTACAGACCAGTATGCTTTTCGCACCAGCTTCTCCACCTCTAGAGCCCACTGCTGCAGGTTTTCGTTGATGCGCTGCACGCGATCTTTAAGCTGCGCACGAAAGAAAGTGTTCCAGGTGAGCGTTGCCATATCTCGCCTTCAATGCCTCAAGGAGTTGCTCGTAGGTCATTTCCTCACCGAGAACTTCCAGAACTGTTAAGGCCTGATCGCGCAGGACTAGTGTGAGAGCAGTCATGGCCTGACTTTTATTTCAGGCGTTCGCCTTCATAACAGCCTCGAACTGGATTTTGTAGGCTGACCAGGAAGAGGTACCGTCGAACGGTGGCACCTTGAACCCACGTAGCGAAGGTGTTGTAGCTACTACGGGAGCTGCAGCTCCATCTCCAAGTTTGAGTTCGTCCAGTGATTTCTTCATGTCAGCCATTACATTGTCAACCCGATGGTTTACTTAGTCGATTCGGGTTTCAGCTTTTCTCGATTCGGTTTTCAGCTTTCGCGATTTGAGTTTCAGCTTCCGACAGGCGGTTGTCATGCTGAGCAACCCTATCCTTCACCTCCTTTATCTCCTTCCCGAAGGTAGCGTGAAGGTCCTTCATGAGGAGCATCTGCTCTTCCAACCGACGGGCCTGTTCCTCTTTTCCGCCCCGCAGCTTTTTTTTTATTTTTTTTTATATAGAAGAGGAGGCAAACGAGCATGTGGCTCACCTGATGTTAAGTGACTACCGCCGCCCATGATCAACTGCAACACCAGGGGAATTGCAGACGCGTTGCCGGCCCTTTAGAAAGAAGTAAGCTCTTTTCTTGAAGGTCCCCAGGTCGTATCGGTCCGGAAAAATCGCTGGTGGTAAATTATTCCACAGAGAGGTTGTACGCGGAAGAAAACTCCTTTTGAAACGTACAGTGGTGGACCGCCAAGCATCCAGATGGTGTGGATGGTATCGGGACGTTTGCCGCGTAGTGCGTTCACGAAATTTGGCAGCTGGGATTAATCCGAACAATTCCTCAGAGCACTCTCCATGGTATATGCGAAAGAAAATGCAAAGGGATGCAACATCTCTTCGCAGTGCCAGAGAATCGAGCCGATCGGAAAGCACTCGGTCGTCGACGATTCGAGCCGCTCTGCGCTGGATGTGGTCAAGTGGAAGGAGCTGGTACTGGGGAGCCCCAGCCCAGAGATGGGAACAGTATTCCATGTGCGGCCGAACCTGCGCCTTGTAAAGTTGCAGGCGGTGTGCCGGCATGAAATACTGTCCCGCTCTGCTGAGCACGCCAAGCTTTTTAGAGGCCAATTTGGCCTTCCCTTCCAAGTGACCACGAAACTGCACGTCACTCGATATGTCGACGCCGAGGATTCCGATACTGGCTGAGGCAACAAGGGGAGTGCCTTGAAACTGAGGGGATACGACAAAGAGGTTCTTTTTAGCGGTTAACGCGCAAACTTGTGTCTTCTGGGGGTTAAACTGGACTAGATTTAGTCGCCCCCAATCCGAGACTCTGTCCACCAGAGACTCGACTTCAGACACAAGTTTGTCCCGGCACTCGGAGACGTTTTCCCGAGAAATATTGGCTCGGCCGGTGTAAAGAGCATCACCAGTGCTGTCA